CCAGCCGCATCAGAAGTCTGCTCTGAACCCACCCAAAGCCCAAACCTGCCCGGCATCCGAGGGGAAAGCGGCTCCGGGACACGAGCAGGGATGCTCTTCCTCCTCTCTGCCCCTCTTTTCGTCCGGCCCTTCTCTGACCCACGGCCAAAACTTGAACACGCTGTTGGCGATGGGAGGTCTGCAGAGCGCCTGGGGCTCGCAGCCTGTTTCTAAGCAGGCTCTGAAAGCTCATTGTGGCTTGAAATTCATTTGCCACGGGCTGTCCGTGGGAAAATGCTTAGGGGGTCTGCAGATCGGCGTGACAAGTGGAAAGCGTCGCTGCAAACAGTCGGTAGGAGTCATGAGCAGCCGGCTCAGCCCTGACTGTGGGCAGGCAGCAGCCACAGGGGCATCCGAGTGGTGGTGAGACGCTGCGGGTGGTGCCGAGTTGTGCCGAACGGTGCCTCGGGTGGGCGCCCCTCAGCCTCATGGCCGGGTGGAAAGGCAATTTGCACGCTCCGGTGAACGCAGGGGAACCGCCGGCATCGTTCAGGGGGCTCTGCTCCGCCGGGATTTAGCCGTAGACCCAGAGAGCCTTCACCGGGACAAATCCCCTTGTGTCACTTCCAAAAGTGGGCTCTGGTCTGCAACAGCAGTGGTCACTGCCCAACTGCTGACCCGATTATTATCCGAGAAAAAGGTCTGATTTTTTTTTTCTTCCTTTTAAGACAAATTTTTGCCCGGCCCTACCTTGGGCAAGGGGGGACGGGAGGAGATAGGCCGATCCCCCCCTCCCTCTTTCTGTTTACTCATTCGCTTCACAGCTGTTCCGTCATTTTAATCTGCGGAGATTGTCTTTAAATTTCGGAAATGAAATGATTTCCCGCAAGCCGGGATTGGAGTTTGGATCCGCGCTCATTTTTCCCGAGCGGAGAAGAAAAAAGGGAGAAACGCACGTTAAAGCCAGGCTGGCCATCTGGAAGGGAGGTGCGTTTCCGACGCCGTTAATTGCTCGCTCCCCAAGGCCCGCGAGACGGCTGCAGTCAGAGGAAATAGCGGGAGCGGGAGCGGGGGTAGGACGGGAGCCGGGAGAGCTGGAGGGGCCCAGGGAATTACGCCACGAAATCAATGCCTGCTCTGTCCTCGGCCTCCTGGTTTAGGTGGCCCATCAACACGTGGGTCCCTGGCCCGGCTCTGGTACAGCAGCGAGGCAGCGCTTGGGGGGACCGATAGCAGCTTTTATTGGAATTAATTAACATCATTAATACCACCAGGAAGGAGAGGAGGAAGCTTTTGGGCACGACAGCCCTTAGATCTGCAAGCAAACAACAGTTGCGACTCGTGTATGGCACGTATGGCTTCCACGGAGCGCTTAGATCCCGGCTTTTCCGCCAGCCGGACCCAAAGGATGGGGAAGACAAGTGGGGAAAAAAGGCGTTTCTCTGTGGGTTTGCTCCACCGCAGCCCCTCGATGGGAGAAGGCAGCCAGGCATCGCCGCTAGCTGTCCCCGAAGAGGAGGAGACGAGGGCACGGTGTGCGGGAGGGTCAGGCGGGGCTCACGGCAGCCCCCCCCACCTTGGCTTCATCCATCCCCGCTGCCCCGGGGCCGGTGGTGCGGGCTGCCG